ATTTTCAAGTGTTCATATAGACCACATTGTGATGATAAAAAAATTTCAAAAGTACTGAAAACCTTGAGTATGTTATCTGGCTGTAACAAAAATAAATTAGAAAACAGTAATAAGATAACTCAAACAGACCCCAAAATCATTTCGAGACTGTGGTGGCCATGAGCGTGCCACTGCACTCCAGCCTGGGCAACAGAGTAAGACTCCAGAAGAAAGAGAGAGAGAGAGAGAGACAGAGACAGAGAAAGAGAGAACGAGAGAGGCAGAAAAAGAGAGAAAGAAAGAGAGAGAGAGAAAGAGAGAGGGAGAAAGAGAGGGAAAGGGAGAGAGGGAGAGAGGAAGAGAGGGAGAGGAAGGAAGGGAGGGAGGGGGAGGAGGAGAGGGAGAGAGAGGGGGAGATGGGGAGAGAGGGGGGGAGAGAGAGAGAGAGAGAGAGAGAGAGAGAGAGAGAGAGAGAGAATGTAGACAATTCACATAGCTAAAAGTGGCTTTGTTCAATAATTAATACTACCAAAAAGCCTCTAACATGATTTTTCAAGAATAAGAGGAATAAAATCAAATTATAAATATCAGCAATGCAAGAGAGAATATCACCTCAGATTCTACAGACATTAAAAAAAAATTATGAACAACTTTATAAAAATAAATTTGATAGCCGGGCTCAGTGGCTCAGCCTGTAATCCCACGCTTTGGGAGGCTGAGGTGAGTGGATTGCCTGAGCCCACGGGTTCAAGGCCCGCAGGTTCGAGACCCGCCTGAGCAACATGGCGAGAGAGACCTCATCTCTACAATACATCAAAAAAAAAAATTAGCTGGGCATGGTAGCATGCACCTGTATTTCCAGCTACTTGGAAGGCTGAGACAGAAGGGTCGCCGGATCCCAGCAGGTCGACGCTGGGGTGGCCGTGAGAATGCCACTGTACTCCAGTCTGGGCAACAGAGTGAGACTCCAACTCAAAAAAAAAAAAAATTTGATAACAAATTCCATGAAAAACAAAACTTACTAAACATAAGATGAAAAAGAAAATCTAAATAGTCCTATAACCATCAAAATATTAATTTTTTAGGATTAAATTCCCCATAAAGAAGAATTCACCAGGCACAGTGGCTCATATCTCTAATCCCAACACTTTAGGAGGCAGAGGCAGGAGATTGCTTGAGGTCAACAGTTCAAAACCAGCCTGAGAAACACAGTAAAACACTATCTCTATAAAAAAAAATTTTTTTTAAATTAGCTGAGTGTGGTAGGGCATACCTACAGTCCCATTTACTTGGGAAGCATAGGCAGGAGGATCACTTGAGTCCAGGAGTTCTAGGACCCAGTGAGCTATGATGGATGGGAGGGAGGGAGGGAAGGCTGGGAGGGAAGGAGGAAAAAACTCCAAATCCAGATCGTTTCACTACCAAATTCTATCAAACATTTAAGGGGGGAAAAAAATCAATGTTACACAAATGTTTAACAATGTTTCCAAAATCTAGAAAAAAGAACACTTTCCAATTCATTATGTAAGTTCAGGATAACCCCTAAAGTCAAAACTTGACAAAGATTATCTTTAAAAAAAAATTATAAATCAACATTCTCCATAAATACATATGTAAAAATAGTTAAAATATTTTTAACTGAATGGAGCAATATTTTGAAAGGAAAATAAATCATAACCAAATGGAGCTGATCTCAGGGACTAGTTTAATATTTCAAAAATTAATTACACAACAACAAAGGCAAAATACATGAAAGAAGTAATTGATAAGTTGGACTTCATTAAAATTAAAAACTTCTGCTTTGTTAAAGACAATGCTAAGAGAATGAGAAAATATTTGCAAAAATATAACTGGTAAAAACTATTACACAAAATATACAAAGAACTCTTAAAACTCAACAATAAAAAAAACAACCCAATTTTTAAATGGGCAAAAAATCTAAACAGAGGCCTCACCAAAGATACACAAATGGTAAATAGAGCATATGAAAAGATGCTCTACACATCATATGTCATTAGAGAATTGCAAATTAAAACATCAATGAGATATCACTACACACCTATTAGAATGGCCAAAATCCAAAACACTGACAAGATCAAAAGCTAGTGAGAATGTGAAGAAACAGACACTTTCTTTCACTGCAGTTAGGACTATAAAATGGTACTGCCACTTTGTAAGACAGTTTGGCAGTTTCCTACAAACTTAAATGTACTGGTCCATACAATCCAGCAACCGTTATCCATTTGGTATTTACCCAAATGAGTTGAAGACTTACAGTCACACAAAAACGTACACATGGATGTTTACAGCAACTTTAGTCATAATTATCAAAACTAAAAAGTAACCCAGTTTTCCTTCAATAGGTGAATTTCATCCAGATGAATACACATGAATATACACAAATACATCCAGACAATGAAATAGTACTTGGCACTAAAAAAAAAATTAGCTATAAAGTCATGTACATGCATGGAGAAATCTCAAATGCATATTATTGAGAGAAGCCCATCTGAAAAGGGTACATACTACATGATTCCAACTATATGACATTCTGAAAAAGGCAAAACCATGGATACAACAAAAAGATCAGTGGTGGCCAGGGATCAGCGGGGAAGAAGGAATAAATAAACAGAGCACTGAGGATTTTTAAGCAGTGAAACTACTTAGTATGATACTACTAATAATAATGGTGGATAACTGACATCATATATCCATCCAAATCCACAGAATGCACAGCATCAAAAGTGGTGCACTCAGATGTCCCCTCTGTGCTAGTGATTATACAAGACAAACTTATGCCAATGCAAATTTTTCAAAAATGTATGTATCCCTAAAGTTGTCCATTCAAATTGCATGAAAAAAGCAAATAAAAAGATTGAATATATACTGAGATATACATTTTAAAAAGATCAACTGGCATTACATAGAAAGAGAATGTATGATGTGCTTTCACAGTGGTGCAGAGACTGGACAATAAATTACATATTATTAATGTGGGAGGAAGAAAACAACGCTGCACTGTCTGCTCAAATAGTAAAACACCAGGTGGAAGATGTCAAATAAATTACTATTGTACAACCTGTGTATCAATGAACCTGCAATGCCTGTCAGTGACTATTTCACATGGTACCACACATTAGAAAAATATAAGGTATAAAATTTTGATTTTTTTGTCATAAATAAGTTCCTCAAGGTCCAAAATTCCATTTTAAGCCAAATATCATTACAATAAAATAACTGATTCCAATGCTATACTATTTAATATGAAGTTATTTGTTTTTCACTATTTTGTAAAAAAAAAAAAAGTGTGGTCAGGTTGTTAGTAGGTGATCCACAAGATGTCTCTGAATACAAAGGGTTAAAGTCATATTGTATTTTGAGCAAAATAATAATGAAAATACAACATATCAAATCTTGTCACCTAAAGCTGAAGCTACTTAGAGTAAAATATATAACCCTAAATGCAGATTTGAAAATCTATGTCAACAAATTAGAAAAATTAATTAGAAAAAGAATAGCAAGTTAAAACTAAAGAGAGCAGACGAAGGAAAATATTAAAGATAAAACTAGAAATTAAAGAAACAAATCTATAATAGCAAAATTCAAAAGGCCAAAAGTTAATTCACTGAAAAAATAATGAAATTAATAAGCCCCTAGAAAGAAAAACTGGAAAAATGAGAGGTGTAAATGATCCTTATAGTAATAAGTATGAAAAATAAGATGATATGAATGAACCTACCAAAACTAACACATAAACAGATAATCCAAGCAGTCTTATTTCCATTAAAGAAATTAAACATATTAAAACTTTTTCATTAGCAACTCCTAGGCCCATATGGCTTCAGCAGTGAAATTTTGACAGTATACAAGAAAAAACTAACTACAATCTTCACAAACTCTCCTAGAGAACAGCAAAAGATGGAACACATCCCTTTATTTATAAGACCAGTATAACCAAGATACCAAAATCTGATCAGAACATTAGAAGTAGGAAAATTACAGGCCAATTTCTTTCAACACAGGTGCAAAGATCCTAAAAATTACACACAGAAATAGCAAACTAAATTCAATGATACATAAAAAGGTTAATACATCACAACCAAGTCGGGCTTATTTTAGGAATGCAAAGATGGTTTAATATTTGAAAACAAATTAGTATAATTCAATAACTTTAACAAAGTAAAGGAGAAATACCATGAGTGCCCCAAAAGATGCAGATAAAGTTTATTACTAAAACTCAAAAAAATTCATGATATTAATTAACAAGGTTGCTGGGCATAAGGTCAATAAACGAAATTCAATTATATTTCAAACTTCTATAAGAAAACAATTAGAAATGAAATTTAACCAACAATTCTAATTAAAATAACATCAAGAATATCATATATCTACGAATAAATCTACTGAAATATATGGAGGTCGTCTACACTAAATGAAAACTACAAAACATTAAGAAAAATATATAAAGCCCTAAATAAACAGAGAAATATACTATGTCTATGGATTAACTGATTCACTATTGTTAAGATACCAATTATCTGCAAATTGCAACTTCAATGTAATCCCAATTCAAATTCCAGTGGGAGGCGGAGCACATGTTTATGAGTAAATAGAAATTGAAAAACTGATTCTAAAATAATATGAAAATACAAGGAGAGAAAGAAAGACAAGGAGACAGCTAGGAGGAGGAAGAGTACATTCACTACTAGATATCAAGACTCCTTATAATATAACTAGAATAATTTAAGACAATGTGGGATTGACAAAGGAAGTGACAAACCAATGAAACAAAAGGTAGTCTAGAAACCTTATCACATTGACATGTGAAGTACATGTGTGAAAATGCAGAAGATCTTAGAAAAAAATCCATGTAAAAATATTTCAACACCTTAATATATTTTCTGATCAACCATATCAATTACAACAGCAAGTAAATAACACTTCAGTTAAATCATCTCACAACTGTATAAAACAGCTTCCAAAACAATTAGCAGACCTTCCATAAAATCTTAATCTCTTACCTCCCCAAAAGCTCCTCGACCAATCACCTTTAATATTTCAAAGTCTTCTCTATGTAATCGCATTTGTTTCACTTTAGAAGTAAACGGTTTAGCTGAAACAAAAGAGCAACATCAATTACTTTCTTAATGAAATGTGATGCAAATTAAATATAAATAATGGGGTTTCTTACACAAAAAATTCAAATTATAATTAAAAATTAAGCCAAAATATTTAAAAATAGCATTAAATATGAGAATAAAAACATTTAATTTCCTAAAAAAATCAATATATTTCCTTTTATTTTTTATATATGAATTACATTTTTGGTGAGAAACATTTTTAAACCCCAAAGAACACAGGAAATAATGCAAAGCACAGGGGCATATGAAAATGAAACCAGTTTATTCTTATGTTAAACATTCTAACTCACAATGCTAGATGTATATTTTAACACAAAGGTCCAAGTAAAAGCAGATTTCACAGCACCAAATAGTTCTTCAGTAATTCCTACCAAGAAAATGAATATTTACTTTACAATCATTCATTTATTATTTATTTAACATGCTTTTGAGCAAGAGTCTATCCTATACAAAGCATAGCGACAGTAACTAGAGTTTTTTAAAAAGTTGATTAGGGAGATTCAAGGTGGCCACCGGAGAGCAGCCCAACCTGCGCCTCTCTTGCGAGTGGAGCGGAGAGGACAGACCTAGCCACCAGTCAACTCAGATGGCATGAACACTTCTAGACTGGGGAAGCACCCTGCATCCCGCAGAGTTCTCTTTGAACGCAAGGAGAGAGTTTGGGCAGCCGACATTGGAATCAGGAGCCCCATCCACACGAGCGCCAGTCTTGCATAGGACCTGCAGCCCGGCCTTGTGTGCAGAGGGGGTGAGTGTTCCTCACAAGTCTGGGTTGGTTTCCCTCCTCCCAACTGTACACCAGTCATTGGTCCCACGCAGGAGGAGATCTAGTAAAGGCATAGCCGCTAAGGCTGGAGCCCAAGCAGAGCTGGGAACACATGCATGTGCTCTGAGTGCCATCAGCCTCCGAATGCACACTCCCCACTGGCGGTGCCCTCGGCTCCCAAGCTGGGAAAGCTCGCCTCTGTGGCATTCAATTCATGCCCGCTGCCAGCGTCTGGCGGCCAACCACCCCCTCCAGACAAGAAAGGCTTTCCTGCCAGCCTCATCTGCTCAAAGGGCAGGTCTCTTCTGACATGAAATCTGCCACTGCTAAGCACAAACTTGGATGGAGACAGGGAGACATGAAAGGCACCTGGAGGTACTGTTTCCCCGCTGGAATGTTTTCTGGGCTGCGAAAGATGAACAGCTGTCAGAGGGTGCCACCCCCCACCCCAGTCCCTGCCTTGAGCTCCCCAGCTGGAAAGCAGTCTGGCCATCTGACCGCGGGGGGGCGGGGGGGCGGGGCATGACACTGCGACAGAAAGTCACTTTTTTTTTTTTTTTTTGAGTTGGAATCTCTGTCACCCAGACTGGAGTGCAGTGGCACACTCCCGGCCACCCCGCAGCCTCGACCTGCTGGGCTCTGGCGACCCTTTCGACTCAGCCGTCCAAGTAGCCAAACTGCAGAAGTGCACTACCACGCCCGGTTAATTTTTTTGATTTACTGTAGAGATGAGGTCTCGCCAAGTTGCCTGGGTGGTTCTTGAACCCGCGGGGCTCTCAAAGTGCCGGGATTACAGGCTGAGCCACCGAGCCACTTTGGGTGCAGAGCACAACCCAAAAGAGTCACAGAGCAAAAGTGAATACCTCTCTCTCTCTTACCTGAGTGAACTATTTTGAAGGACAGAAAAGGCTCTAGGATAGCAAAATCTTGTCTAGCTACAAAACAAGAAAACTAAAGAAAAACAATTAAAAGAGAAGAGTTGCTCCTTACAGATGGATAACCACCAACAATCCTCAAAGCCTTAAAGAAACATCACCTTAAAAAGCATCTATCGCGGGGCTCGGTGGCTCAGCCTGTAATCCCACGCCTTTGGGAGGCTGAGGTGAGTGGATTGCCTGAGCCCGCGGGTTCGAGACCCACATGGGCAGCGAGACCTCATCTCTACAATAAATCAAAAAAGCCGGGTGTGGTAGCGCACGCCTGTAATTCTGGCTACTTGGAAGGCTGAGACGGAAGGATCACCAGAGCCCAGCAGGTCGAGGCTGCAGTGGCTGGCAGCGGCCACTGCACTGCAGTCTGGGCGACAGAGTGAGACTCCAACTCAAAAACAACAAAAAAAGCATCTATCAGTCCCCAAGCAATGGAAGCCACCCAGAACTACCAGTCCTTGATACCAGTCATAAAATTCAAATAATGATGGCAAAAATGGCTAAGAAAAACCACTAGAAATTAGAAACAAAGATCACCCACTCTGTGCAGAAAGTAAAAGTTGAGTTGGCCAATATAAGAGGGGTCCATTCTGAAATCCTGAAAATGAAGAATTACCTCCTGGAATTTCAAAGCACAATAACAGGCCCAAGGAGCAGAATAAATCAGGAAGAGGAAAGAATCTTGGAGCTTTAAGAACAAAATAATTGAACTAACCCAGTCTGACAAAAACAAGGAGAAAAGGCTCAGAAAGAATGAGCAAAGTCTACGAGACGTGTTAAGACTGTGTAAAGAAGCCAAAACTATAGTTGATTAGAATCCCAAAAACAGAGGAGGAAACTGAGAACACCCTAGGAAAAAACCTTCCATGAGGTCATCCAAAAAAATTTCCCATATCTTGCTAAAGAGGCAACTATCCAATGCAAGTGACTCATGGACAATTGCAAGGTATTACATGAGAAGACCATCCCCAAGACACACAGTAATCCACCTCCACAAAGTAAGCATGAAGGGGAAAATTCCTAAACGCAGCTACAGAGAAGGATCAGACCACCAACCAGGAAGACCCATCCAGAATCGCAGCAGACTTCTCAGCAGAAACTCTACAAACCAGAAGGGACTGGAGTCCCATCTTTAACATTCTCAAAGGCAAGCAATTCTAGCCAAGAATTTTCTACCACACCGAGCTAAGCTTCATCAATGAGGGAGAATTAAAATCCATCCCAGACATCCAGTCCCTAAGAGAATATGACACCTCCAGACCAGCCTTCCAGGAGATGCTTAAAAAAGTCATGAGTGCAGAAACAAAAGAATGGTTATACCCACAAAAGCACAGGTAAACATAGAGCTAATCCACAAAATTTTTTTAAAAATAATAAAAAATAACAACAAAATAAATGTGTATGTATATATATGAAGCAAAGCAACCTCTTAAGACTCTTATAAGAGGAATAAATGCTCACATATCAATAAGACTTGAATATGAATTAACTGAATGTACCATTAAAAAGGCTTGGAGTAGCAAACTGGATAAAGAAACATGATCCAACATTCTGCTGCCTCCAGGACACCCACGTCACTGCAAGGGACACCCACTGACTCAAGATGAAAGGTTGAAAAATGACCTCCCAAGTCAATGGAAAACAAAAAAGAGCAAAGGTAGCTATTCTTATATCAGACAAAACAGACTTCAAACCAATGAAAGATAAAAAGGACACTACATAATGATAAAAGGCTCAATCCATCAGCAAGAAGATCCATCTTGAATATATATGCACCCAACAGAGGAACGCCTGGTTTTATAAAACAATTGCTACATAAATTAAGAGAGGACAAGGACACACAATCATAGTCAGAAACTTTAATACCCTGCTAACAGCCTAGATAGATCATCGAGACAAAGAAGCCAACAAGGAGATCCTGAACATTAACTCAACATTCAACCAAATGGATATAACAGATATCTACGGAATACTCTACTCACCATATATAGAGTAGTCAACTCATCAGCACATGGAACATACTGCAAGATTGATCACATTCTCAGACATAAATCAAATGTAATCAAATTTCAAAAGGGTGAAATAATATAAAGCATCTTCTAAGATCACAGTGGAATAAAAACCAATATCACTGCCCACAAGATCACCCCTCAAAACACGCAAAGGTAAGGAAACTAAACAACATGCTGCTGTATGACTTTGGAGTCAACACAGAAATCAAGTAAGAAATAAACAGATTCCTGGAAACAAATGAAAACAAAGACATATCAAAATCTCTGAATGCCATGAAAACAGCAATGAAAAGGAAATTCATATAGTATTGCATGCTCATATCAAAAAAATAGAGAGATCACAAGTAAATAGGTTAACATCACACCTAAGAGAGCTAGAAAGGGAAGAAAAATTAAATCCTAATTTCAGTAGAAAAATCCGGACTACTAAGATAAAGTCACAATTGCAAATATAAAAGACAGAAATATCACAGAAAGGAACTACAAGACAAAAAGTCAGACAGACCCCTGGTCAGACTGACTAAAATAAAAAAGAGAGAGAGTCCAAATAAACATGTTTAGAAATGAAAAGGTGATGCCACAACAGACCCTGAAGATATTCAAAACAGTATCAGAGATTACTATGAACATCTGCATGCAAATAAACTAGAAAATATAGAGGAAATGGAGGATTTCCTGGTATCACACAACCTTCCAAGGTTGGAACAAGAATAAACTGAAACCCTAAATAGACCAATAACAATCCAGGAAATTGACTCAGTTATATGAAATCACCCTGACAAAAAAAAAAGCCCTGGACCAGACAGCTTCTTAGCTGAATTCCACAAGACATACAAGGCAGAACTGATACCAATCTTACTGAAAGTATTTCAAGCAATCAAGAAGTAAGAATTCTCTCTAGCTCATTTTATGAAGTTAATATCTTCCTAATACCCAAAACTAACAAAGACTCAATAAGGAAAGAGAATTACAGGCCAATTTCCCTGATGAACATAAATGCCAAAATTCTCAAGATTCTAGCAAATCTTATCCAACAACACATTTCAAGGATCATCCACAAGAACCAGGTGGGCTTCATTACTGGGATGCAGGGCTAGTTCAAAATTCGCAAGACTATAAACGTAATTCAGCACATCAGCAGGTATAAAACCAAGAACTACATGATTATCTCAAGAGATGCAAAAAAAAGCATTCAATAAAATCCAGCATCCCTTCTTAATAAAAACCCTGAAACACCTAGGAATCAAGGGAATATTCCTCAAAAG